TATGAAGAGGGGGAAGGGATATTTAGTGCACAATGTTTTACTTTGTTCTATAAATGGAACAACCTTGAATTTAGTTTCTTTGTTCTATGAACGGAACAACCTTGAATTTAGTTTCCATATTTGGATGTGAACAAAATTCTTCTTAGTTTAACATATGAAATTGGTGCAAGCAAAACTCTAGTGACCCAGCCAATTGGTGCAAGCAAAACTCTAGTGACCCAGCCAATTGACAGTTAAGGAAAGATGTGAAATCTTATTTTTCTTGTTTTGTACAAAATATGGTTATTGGCAATTTTTTCATTTTTCCATAAAGCAGATCAGATTTCGAAAGAACTTGATTGGGGTGCTTTAGATGATGTTGTAATGGGAGGTATTAGTGAAAGTACATTTCGAATTGATCGGACTGGTGGTGAGAATGGCAAACCAACTGGTCTTTTCAAAGGTTTGTTCTTTTGAGAACCTTACATCAGATTCTCTCTTTCTTTATACTACATCCAGCTGGCATTATAACAGTGAACTATAAGCCTCTATTATGGCTATATCTCTTTGTTCCTTTCTTTCCCTTTTCCATATGAGATTCTTTGTCTTTGTCAGGCATTGTTTCAACAGCAAACAATGGTGGATTTAGCAGCATCAGAACAAAGGTGTAGACCTGAATAGCTTTTGATGTTCTTACCCCAATCACGTTGATTCCATTTTCTTATACAAAAAATAAAATATTTGTTGGTTTTTACTTTCAGAACTTTTCCTCCCCTGTGGATCTTTCAGCATATGACGGTTTGGAGTTGCGCTTAAAGGGCGATGGTCGCCGATATAAACTAATTGTTCGCACTAGCACCGATTGGGATACTGTGGGTTATACAGCAAGCTTTGACACCGTTGGAGGCCAATGGCAGTCTGTGTGTAACAGCATGATCATTCTACACATGAGCATTACCAAACAAATTATCTTATCCATTCAGCTTGTAACTTTTTGTTTCTTTACAGTTTCGTTTGCCATTCTCTACACTGAGGCCTATATTTCGAGCACGGACTGTATCTGATGCCCACTCTTCGATCCAAGCAATGTTGTATCATTCCAGGTTTGCCACTGTGTCTAACTGTTTATGTTTTCTGATCTTACTAGATTTTTCGGTTTTACCAAACTTTTTACGAGGAATGCAAAATCATTTCAGCTCATGTTCAGCAAGTTTGAATATGATGGGAAACTGAATCCTACTTTTGTAGAAGGACCTTTTGAGCTTCCACTCTCGAGCATAAAAGCATACATCAAGGATCCTATCACTCCCAGGTTAACAATTTATTCTCCTTTTATCAGATTCTTTCCATTATCTGATCTAGACTTTCTTGCTTTCGATTATTTATCTGCTGCTTCACTTCGTAGGTTTGTACATGTGAGCTCTGCAGGAGTTACTAGACCCGACAGGCCTGGCATTGACCTGAGCAAACAACCTCCTGCTGTGCGCTTGAATAAGGAATTGGATTTTGTCCTGACATTCAAGTTGAAGGTTATTTTCTACGCATGTAATTCTATCTGTGCATCATGCTATAAGCATTAAATTATTTGTTGAAATGATCGAAATATCAGCTGCATAACGCTTTCCATTATGAAACAAAATATCGAGTATATGAACATTGTATTGGTTTCAAAACTAGAAAGTTTCCGCACTTGAACAGTAGAGATGCTTGAATGTATGATATTTGAGGTTTAATTTTCCCTATATATGATGCATTTTCCAACTAGTGTAAGAAATAGATTGAGAGTTCATATGAAGCTGGGAATCAGTGTTTTTCCTTAGACCTTTTCTTTTTCCCTAGAGCAGGGGGAGGATTTGTTACGTGAGAGTGGAATTCCCTACGCAATTGTAAGGCCTTGTGCATTAACTGAAGAGCCTGCTGGGGCAGATCTCATTTTTGATCAAGGAGACAATATAACGGTATGTCATTGAACGGAAGCTGAACATTTGGTCGTGATTAAGCTTGTCTAATATTCTTAACCAGTGGTTAATGTCAGACTTCCAAGAAAAGATTTTCTTTCTTATAGTTCTGCTTCTACTTCATAGCTGATTCCACTAGCATGAACATTTGACCACTAATAAGGTGTATACAGTCCTACCTTGTAACTTGTTTCCCTAGTATAGACATTTTTACTAGGCGGAAACTCTGTCTTCTTGCTAAAACTGTTTACATTATCAAACAATACAGGGAAAGATATCAAGAGAAGAAATTGCTCTCATATGCATCGCTGCCTTGGAAAGCCCATATGCATGTGACAAGACATTTGAGGTTAGTCTATCGCTATCATGCTAAATCATGTTTTCACTCCAGATGGTTGTAGCTTTACATTGGGATTAATCAGATTACACCATATTTGGTTAGGGCATTCAAAATATTAAATCCCTTCAACTAAACTGCCGAGAGCGAATTAAAATTCAATGTTAAAGCTCATCAGAAGTCACTAATCCTGAGCTTGTATGTGTACCCTTTAACCATTAACCAAGAAAGCATTTATGGACATTAACAAGAACACAAATCAAAGCTTGAGGGGTTAACTATCATTGTTTAGCAATATTCACATTATGTTTATGCTGTTGTCTACAATATCCTGGGCTCAACATATACCTCGGTTGAACGTAAGCTGCCCGGCATTTTGTCTTTCGATTTTGTTCATGTATATTGTTTGGTCTTTCACAGGTTAAAAGTGTGGTTCCATTTAGTGAGCCATTCACGGTGGACTCTGAAAACCCACCCCCAGAGAAGGACTACAACATTTATTTCCAAACGTTGAAAGATGGCATTACAGGCAAAGAAAGTTTGGAACAAAGTGCCGTTGTCTGAAAATCGACTGAAGTATCACAGAGAATGTCACTTTCGAAATACCTCTAAACAATTACACATGAATGTGATGGATGGTCTATTAGAAAAGGTCGCTCGATGTGCATCTCATCAAAGATCTTATTGTTGTTTACAACCTCAAAACACTGCCTAGAACTAAACTCTTGCTAATACTTTGGTACATGTTAGAGATAGTGTAGGGAATGGTGAATCTCTGTTGAACATTTTGCAAGGTGCAAGGTGATGATTCCATGAACTATTATTACAGAACAAAAAGGCATGTTCATATTGGTGCACATCATCAGGGGCCCCACTGTCCCCAACAGATCATAAATACATTACATTTTTTCAATCTTTGACTGGTACTTCCATAGCTGCATAGGACTTGATGAAAGTTCACTGCTTGAAGAGAACAGTAAAAGTACAAATTTTGGAACTCTGAAAGCTTTTTCCTGTGAAGTTTCTCCATGCCCTTTTCTATTTTTTAACCTTTATTCCCAAGCTAAGAATTTAAGGAGCAGTATATCTTATTTATGCAAAAAAAAAAAAAATTGATTTCTTACAGTGCAGAATCAGAAGAGGAGACCAGTTTGGCTCTGTAATAAGAAAACGAGATTTTTCCTTGGCTGTCCTATCAAATTTGATGTTCTCATTGTAAACTGCATGCGGATTTTTCAATTAATAGGACCCCACCAAAGTTTTTTTTTGCCTGAAATGTAATGAGTTGTGATTTTAGGGATTGCTTACATGAAGCACATGATCAGCATGTGATTTCCATGTGATTCCAAATTGGCATATTTTTATTTTCTTCCGTTAACCAGACAGAATCACAGGTACCATATGAGATTCAACTTTTAGTTTTATTATTTTTTAATGTTAGAAGCAGGGTTTTAAATCACGGTTTGAAAATATGATAGCGCCCGCGAAATAAAGGTTTCGCTGCCGTCCGAGTTACCCGCTACACCCATAATAGTGCCCGCGAAGGTTACAATCACGGTAAACCCGAAATGACCGAAAACACGATCGTGATTTGAAACCCTGGTTAAAGTTCATCCACATGAGAAAAATGTAAAAAGATAGTTGCTGGAATGACCTACATAGCTTCCAGTTCTAAATAAAGAAATAAAGAAACTACAGAATGATGCTCAACAACAAGAATTAGGTGTTTTTGGGCATTGGATGAACAATCAGAAGCTGTTGTTCAGATTGCAATGTTTTTTTTTTTTTTGATAAATCAGAATTTTATATCCAAAAGAGCAGGAAACTGCTTCAAAAATACATCATGTTCTTACAAGAATACCACTACTTACAAGCAAAGCAATAAAACAAAATATCATTAATCAATACCCCATTGCATACAAAGTGTGCTATTGACAATCTTTTCTATTAATTTCCCTACCCCTAAGCTGAATAGCAACATAATATTTAATAGCAAGGAGCAAGTCTGCAAAACTTCTTGAGCATCTTTGGTAAATTCTTTTGTTCCTCTCCTCTCAAATAATGTATGTAAAACTAGTCCAAGCTAACTTCATAATAATGGATAGTAAAGATTTACTTTTCCAGGAAACTGTAGCCCACGAAATGTGAGTACCCCATGAACAGTATCCTCTGCAAATGCCATTGAAATTCAAAACAGCGTTCCATAACGAACTAGCCATAGTACAGTGTAGAAACAAGTGATCTCTAGTTTTCATCAAGTCATGACAAAACACACATGTACCGTCAATATTAAAACCCATTCGAATCAACATGTCTTTAGTCGGTAATCTATTGAGGAATGCCATCCAAGTAATAATACTATACTTTGGAATGTGAAGAGGAAACCAGATCAACTTATGCCAGATTGCAATGTTGGGTTTTGGCTAATTTCCAAGAAACAAACATTCCCAATAAAATTACCAGAAGAAGAAAGGGATGAATTGCAGATGAGCTAGTAAGCAAGTGTATACTACTATTTTTCACTAAATTTTATAAAATTTACATGAAGGAATTACTTCCTTTTCTCTGGCTTTTTTCGCCTTTTGTTGTTAAAATGAACTTACAGAGTAATATGCAAACCTTCACTGTTGCTTCAATAACAGCAAGATCCCTGCAAAAGCAAGAACAAGTTCAACAGATTCATCAAAAGCACTTGAACCTAATCCGAGTTCGAGTCGAATCCCACTTCTCGAAACGAATGATATAGTGATCATACGTTGAAACAAGCATTGAATCTTCTACTACCACGACGTCTTTCCATGACAACTTTGAGCCTTTCCAGCATATCTTGTTCATTGAATATTCTCCCAGGTGAACTCATAAAGACACTTCTTTGAACAGGGGGAGACCAAATCCCACTCTTGGAGTAATCAAAGTTGAACTCCGACACATCGAAGAACTTGCCTAGAAGGCGGTCCGATACGGATTTAGAAACCAGTTGAACCTTAACCGGAGATGACTCGGCAACCGAGTCAGAAGACGGAGATGAAAAAACTTCAGATTCAGAGTTTGACATTGATAAAAAAACAGAAGAGAGAATGGTAATGGTGAAGGTGCTTAGAAGGAGGCTGGAACCTGATTGAAAAAGACACCTATGGAAGTTTGCAATTATGGAGAGGTCGTGGGGTGGCATAACTAAAAGGGTTTTAAAAAGAAAAAACTATTTGGGAGTTGAAATTTAGAGGGAATCAATGATTTGAGGAATGGAAACCTTATTTTGTATATCTGCAAATTTTTGTTCAGCATGGGATCAAAGGGATATATTCTTTCTTTTCTTGTGGACCCTCTTATCTTGATTCGTTGCCAATATCATTTCCAAAATGCGTCTACTCTTTTTTTTTTAATCGACGGTAGTATCAATTTTAATGTTGATTGTCAACCGTAAGTAATTATTAATTCTCTCTTGTTCTTTCATACTATTTCTTTGTTTTCATTTTTTCTTGAATAAGAATTTCTATATTTATAACACGTTTTTTATGCTATTGTAAAACGCTTTTGTCTACGCTTGTGGCACAATTCTTATGACTCTTGGTACATTTTTGTATACCTTTACTATTGTTTTGGTGTTCGCACAAAGATATCCTCAGATATTTGTTTTCTGATTGGTTTGTGATGGTCATGTATAGTTAGATCCATTCTTTTGTAAAAGGTTGTCTGTTGATATAATTAAAATTGTGTAGCGAAGCAGCATGTTAGATAATTTAATTCGCTCACTACTTATTTATCACTTCGTAAAGTGTCTCATTAGATAAAGATAAGAGTTTTTATGAAGATTATTAAGTTCTTTTAATGTCGGTCGTCATTGTCAGAGAATATTTCGTTTTTCTTTATATCTTCGTGTTTAATATTTTTGTTTGTGTTTGAGTCTTTTGGTAACTATTATTTCTAATTTTTTCTGTAAGTTGTAATTCTAATTTATTTTATTATTTTTATTAATGAAAATCAATTGTGATTATTAAAAAAATGTGCCATTAATTTTGGGTATTGTTTATGATTGAATGGGGATGCTAAGAAACGGTCGTAAATGTTAAGATTTGAACATCGAACTTGTAACACATAAAACAGCTGATTTAAGAAAATAGTGATGTTGGTGGCATGGGCGACATGGGAAGATTCTATTTTTGCAGACGGAAAACTAGTGGTTGCTGTTTTGAGAAATTTGCAGAGATTAAATTACCATAAACAGTGATATTTTTGGTGCAGGCTACAATGGAAAGCAAGGAAGCAGTAGGCCTCTTGGACACAAATACATTAAACTCAGCTCAGACTTTGCTGTATTTTCTTTCATTAAACTTCTGGTTTATATAGTTTGATTATGAAGTGAGATGTAATAAATTACTTAAATTTAACTTGTTAACAGTTCAAGCTTGTCAATGATTTAATAGAGTTTGAGTTTTTTTAATCCAATTTGGACACAAATACATTATGATTATCTTAATTGATTTTGTAGCTGAAATATATACAAATCAACAGGTGACCTTTTTGTTGCCTTCCGATTTCTAAGATTCATCTTAATTAATTCATATCGATTCGAGTTGCACACTTAGTTTTGGTGGGTGAGTATTCCAACAGGAGTTTTATGAATACACAAGGACTCGAACTTGAGACTCATTTAAGCGATATCAAATTACTTATCACTTGAATCAACCCGTCGGTGAATAGTATTTTTTTAAATTAAAGAAATGGTTTTGATGTAATTTGTTTGTTCAAAATTTTGCATTTAAAAAATATTGGCCAGTTCTAAAACATGATTACAATGGGAAATTCTATCTTGCAGTAGTTTAATATACGGTTAAGGAAGACGTTACCGATTTTTTTATTATTTTTTTAGTAAAATCGGTAAAAATTACCGAAAATATTATTATTTTACCTAAAACATTAATGTTTTTAACATTTCCGGTAAAGTGTCTAATAATAAAAAAATCGGTAAAAAAAAAACCGATAATGCTTTATAGGATATGTTAACAAAACTGGTAAATCACCTAATAATAACAAAATCGTAAAATAATAATATTTTTAATAATTTTTTTACCAATTTTATTAAAAATATAATAAAAAAATTAATAACATATTTCCTTAACCGTAAATTAAACTATCATCCGTGAGATTTTCTCGGATTACAATGCAAGGGATTTGACCTAAAAAGATGATCAAAGTATCAAAGGAAGTGTAAGACTAGCCTTGATTACGACTAGGGATGCCTAAAGGGTCGGGTTAGTGCATTGGTGGGGTGTGGTGGGGCGCAGCAGAGTTTTTACAGTCTCGATATTATTTATTTCGTTTGAATTTGATTTTTTTAAAACATATTATTATATTAATTTAAAATTCATAATCATTCTTTGTTTCACTAAAAATAAAATCTGTAAAATGATTTTTGTAAAAAAAGGTAAACTATAATAATTGGTCACTTTCGTTTAAATTTTATACTTTTTTCCTAATTGAATTTAAAAATCATAATAGTTTTATCACTTTCGTTTTTATTTAATTAAGATGTAGTTAGTGAATATATGAAATTAAAAAAGGTAAAATACACAAATGATTACTAATATTTGAGTAAGTTTTTGTTTTTCTACTAAAGTTTTAAAAGTAACAAATTGATCAAGACCATTTTTTATTATATGTTCGATAATGATCCGAACCGATACGGAACTCCACCAGCACAAAAGGAAGTAGTCGAAGCATTTACAAGCATTGTCCTACGAGCTACACTTTGATTTTCAATACAAACTGTAAATGCAATCTTCTACACTTTGATTTTTTATCTACATTTCTAATCTGCTCCTAACTTCCCTTTTCCAAAGGGATTGCTTCGAGTATGGAGGAATCTTTGGACAATTTGACTGCACAAAAGTTTTACAGCCGTTGCTATGGGGATTGCGCTACTGAGGATGCTACCGAAGCGGCCATTTTTGTTGACCTGTGATTACTCTTTTGCCTTCGCTGTTTCTAGTCCACCTGATGCTCCATCAATCTAGGATGTGTCTCATTCTTATTGGCAATGACAACCTTTATTTCCTTATAATTGATTGGCTGGTATTTTATTTTTTTCCTGAATGTATATCAGCTTGTTCATGAACAACCCTGTGTTATATTTAACAAAATACACTCCAATGCAAATAATTCTTGATATTACAGGTGTCATGACGACTTTTTTCGAAATGTATACGTAATGATTTTTTAAATTGGGATTAGGAATTGGAATTTTAGAAAAGATTTGAAACGTTTAGAGTAATCATCGACCTTTGGGATTAGATAAGTCAGAAACACGCTCTTTTAAATAAAAAATTTAAAAAGATATGATTTAGTATGCGGTTTAGAGATTATGGGTTCGAGTTAATGTTCTTGGGATTTGGGTGTTTGATCCAAAAATAACTAGTGTTGAGTGGTTTTTGGTGTTAATGGAAGATTAAACTTTGGTTTTTGGGGAAAAACATGTTAGTGTTCTTGGGAAAATTTGGTGGATGGTATTTTGATGTTTGTGGAGGATTAAAGTGAGGTTTTAAGATGAACATGGAATGAGCAAGGATGAATGTTTGAAGAGAGGATTTTGGGAGGAAAATTTTTGAAAGGATGAAAATGAGGCTTGTCTTAAAATTTTGTCTTTTATAGTGTATTTTTCGGGCAAACTGTTTCATTAAAACAATCTATTTTACGCGTTTTTTGACTTTAAGATGTAACTTTTTATTTATTTTATTTTGGTTACTAAATACTTTTACATTGTTCACCGAATTTTGATTGAGTTCAATTTAGTCATTGGTTTCATTCCAATTGCCTTTATTATTTTATTAAATATGTTTGAATTATTACTTGTAAATGTTAATTTTTAATTCATTCAAAGTGGTCACATGTTTAGACCAAGATTAAAACTCTTAGATCTTTAAATCTCTTAATTTAGTTACTAATGTTAAAATAAACCTTAGATTTTTAATTAAACCTTAGATTTTAAGTTCTTTAGTTTTAATTATTAATTAAAGCATTAGTTTAGGTTCTTTAATTAGAAATTAATTAAGTTTAGAATTATCCTTTTAGGATTAGTTTCTTTAATAATTTTAATTAGAAATCACTAATTAAATTCATAATTTGATTAAATAGAATGTCTATTTATTTTTAGATATTAAAAATTGTGGTCTTAAAGTGACTAGACATTTCTTTTTCAATATTTTTAAATAAAATAAACGTTCTACCGGTAGTCACACAAAAATAAAATAGGTTCATTAATTAAAAACAAAATGGTAGAGGTTTGTTCCTACGTTTAAATTGCTAAGGACACGATGTTTGATTAACGTCAAATGCTTGGCCTTCATTCTTTAAATCAAGGAACATCCTTATTCTTTTTAATAATAATTTGATTAATTTGTCATTTTTATTTTCTTGTTTGGGGTTTAATAATTGATTCAATCTCTAATTTTTAAGGATGACAATGTTTCATTATTTCGATTAAAACATAAGAAATAATTGACTTAATTCCGAATAGGGCTTAGTTTCTTCTTTAATTGAAATAGACAAATATTGTGTGTCTCTCTAAAATTCCTTAATTAGATTAATTTTTTTTATTTTTGAAAATAAAATGATCATTAATTAAATAAAAATTCGAACTTCTTAAATTTTCAATATAGGGATAAATTCGTAATTGAAGGTATAAATTTTGGGCTTTGTGGGGTGCTAATCATTCTCTAAGCGTAATTGACTCACAAAACCATAATCTCAAAAAAACGCATACTAAATCATTTCTTTTTAAATGTTTTATTTAAATGGTGTATCCCGAGTTTTCGACCTACTTAATCCCAAAAGTTGATTACGACTCCTAGCGTTTCAAATCTTTTCTAAAATTCCAATTCCTAATCCCGATTTCAAAAATCATTCCGTATACGCTTCGAAAAAAGTCGTCATGACACATGTATCGCAATTAATTACAAAGGAATAAATTTGTACAAAAAATGGGTTGCAATATGAATCTCAGATTATAACAACACTGCTATAACTGCAACACCGAGAAGCACAGCAAGAAACATTTAGCTTGTGGTTTAAAGCCCTTGGCAATGAGATGATTGTTTACAGGCTATTTCTCCCCCCCAAAAAAAAAAGATTGTTTACAGGCTAGGCAATCCAAAGGAGGACCTGTCTATTGTTGGTTTACATCTTGCTGTTGCGTGCGCGATGCTGAAGTCCAATCCAAGCTTCAAGGTGATGTTTACAAGGCGAGAAGCAAATTCTGCTGCGCATGAATTAGCTCACTTGGCTCTCTCTTCTTGTTCTTCTCCTTTTTAGTTTTCTTTGGAAGTTCTAGATTGTATCTCAAACATTATCATTTTGGATATAATTAATGGTTAATTAAGCTCGTTTTTATTAAAAAAAAACTAATAAAAAACAAGAGTATTAAATTTAATGATTATATTTTATTTTTTTTTAATTATAAAAATAAAATGAAAATGATATACATATTTATCCTGAAAATTTTAAGAAAAAAATTATTTAAGTTTTAATATTTTCAGTCTTTCTTGGTATTCAATTTTTTATTTTTTGTCAATTTGAATCAATTGACAGAAAATATAACATATACACTAAACAAACATCAATTACTTTATCTTTTATTATTTTTTTATAAATTTTTAATGATATAAATATATTTTATATTATAATTTTTAATATCTTATTATTTTAGTATTTTTTTGAATATTTGTAAAAAATGAAAAAATATGTAAGATTAGCATTAAAAAAAGATAAATTAATTGATTTCATCTTAACACGTATGTTATTCCCCCCCCCCCCCCCACCCAAATTGATCTCAAACATTAAGAATACACACAAAGATGTCAACACCAGCAATGCCTCATTTGAAGCATTCAAACTGAAAGAACCTTTTGTGAAAACAAAACAAAAACAACAAATAGTGTCTTGTAATTACACGGTAAGCCATTGGTTAAATTGACCCATAAACCCTAATTTTCTAACACCAAAAAGACACTGTAATAGTGAAAATCTCCAAGGACAATTCCCCACATTTTCTGGAGCCCTACCTAGCATTCCATCTGCCTTTTACATTTCCAACTCACCTTTATTTTTAAAAGAAAAAGTTGAAGAAACGGGCCATTGCCCATTGCTCTTTCACACACTCGTTTATTACTTGACGCCAAAAAAAGAAGAAGAGGTAAACGCGTTTGAGGAGTGCAACAGCTGTGGTTGTGAGAGATGGCGGGTTACAGAGCAGAGGATGACTACGACTACCTTTTCAAGGTGGTTCTGATCGGCGATTCAGGTGTGGGGAAGTCGAATCTGCTTTCTAGGTTCACCAGGAACGAGTTTAGCCTCGAGTCCAAGTCCACTATTGGCGTTGAGTTCGCTACTCGTAGCTTGAATGTTGATGGAAAGGTCATCAAGGCTCAGATTTGGGACACTGCTGGTCAAGAAAGGTCTTGCTTTTTTTTACCACATCCTTGTCCTCCTTTCATGTTTCTTGATCTGGGTATTTTTAGTTATCTTCTGATTTTGCGTACAGATATGAGCAAATATCAAAAGGGAATTGGGTTTTCTTCTTGAAATTCTTGGTTTGCTTGGGAAAAGAAAGCTGATCTAAAATGAGATTTTTAATAAATCTTTCTTTGACCTATATATATGGGGAAAACGGTTTTGCATATCTAGATCCGTGTTCAGCTTGCGAGTAAATGGTGTCATGGTTGCCTGTTTCTTACAAATCTGTTGTTAAGATCTAGTTTCTTTTCCTAATAGGCTTGTGTTGCTAATAGGTCCAACATAGATTTGAAAGTGAGGATCAGTAGATCTTGATGTTTCTTAATCTTGTGATCTTGTTATATGAGTTGTGTGTGTTCTTCTGGAGTTTAAGTGGCTTGACAATGAGTAACAAATGTTCATACTTTGTGTTAAAACGTTTGCTTCCTGCTAGATATAAGATATGGTTTCAATTTCATGTTAGCGCTAGATTGCACCCAGGGAGCCGGACGCAAGACTTTAAGGGGCAACTGCCCCCAGCCCTCCTCGGTCCATCCCTGATTGCACCATAATAATTTTAGCTGAAGCCTCTGAGCGTCTGAGTTCTATAACAAGTTGCTCGAAGAGAAACTGACCCGCATATAATGCCAATCAAAACACTCATCTGTTTGCCCTAATTTTGTCGTGTAATCAGTAGTCACAGAGATGACGATTGCTTACCAGTATCTTGTATCTCCACGTGTGTATAGAATTTGTTACTTTAATGTTTAGCATCAGTCTAGACCGGTATTTCAGGTTCTTGCGGCTTACATATAGTTACCGGTTGGTAAATTGGTAGTTAGAGGGACCATTTGAGTCATTGTGCAGAGAGCCCTCTACCATATTTTATTCCGTTGTATATCTAAAATTGGCATCTGCCTCAAGAATGGCAGAGAATTCACCTGTTGCCGATATAGCTTGCTTCACCTCTGATGCTACAGAATCTTGGTTGACAAATGATATGATTCTTTTGAGGCATGGTCATTTGTATTGCAGGCCAAATACACTTGGGATTTCATCCATGCGCTTTGAAATAGTGATGAGGCATTGACTTGTTTGATCAGGCCTCAAATTGAAGTATGAGAGAAATAATCTTAGACATCCTAAAGTACGAGAAAACAATAATCTTAGACTTTACTTTCTAGACTATCAAAAAGGGTTAATGTGAACTTCCAGGAGTAATAAATTGTTTCTCTGTCTGAGATTCCTAGGGCCATAGCTAATTAAGCAGTGACGCTATGCTCCATTTCAAGTTATTTCCAATCTGTGTGGAGATATCTTATATCTATAATGTCGGTATACCTGTTAGTGGCTGCTTGTGTTACGGCCTTGATATGGCTTGATTTCCCTGATCCAATATGATGTAAGGCTACTAAGTTCGCGTATGTTTTCAAATGTGATTCATTGATTTGAAAGACGGAATATAAAGCTTCATCCTTGGAATGAAAGGAAGGGAGTAAAATACCTACACTATAGTTTTAGTATCATAGGAAACAGATGCATTGATTCATTGCTTTCAACCCTTATAATGTTTTGGAACAATAAATACTTATAATTAGGGTCGACGAGGTCAATAAATTGCAGGATAGATTATGATCGTACTATTGCTTTGTGTTTAAAACATATTTCTTTTGTACTCAAAATGAGAGCTGCGGATAAATTTGTTTTAATTCCGGATCCATAACATTCTTATGTGTGGAAATTATATGCCCCATTCTCTTATCATTGTTATCTGAACTTCTCTTTTTACATTGATAGGTACCGCGCCGTCACAAGTGCCTATTACCGAGGGGCTGTTGGTGCACTTCTGGTGTACGATGTTACACGACACTCCACGTTTGAAAATGTCGAGAGGTGGCTAAGAGAGTTGAGGGATCACACGGATCCCAACATTGTAGTCATGCTCATTGGTAATAAATCAGATCTCCGTCACCTCGTGGCCGTCTCAACCGAGGATGGGAAATCCTTTGCCGAGAAAGAATCCCTCTACTTCATGGAAACTTCAGCCCTGGAAGCTACTAATGTCGAAAACGCGTTTGCTGAAGTTCTCACACAGATATACCATATCGTGAGCAAGAAAGCTATGGAGACTGGTGATGAAGGGAACGGTTCAGCCGTGCCCTCCAAGGGAGAGAAGATTGATGTCAGTAAAGACGTGTCGGCTATGAAGAAGGGAGGTTGCTGCTCAACCTAGGATGTTGCTCAACCTTGGTTTTGTAAAATTTTCTTAGAAGAGTGCCTAAAGTAGATCAGCAGAGATTGATTTAATTCTTCATTAAGAAAATAATATTTTTCCCCGTCTTGATGACTGCTATATTTAGTAGAGAAGAGGCTTATGAAGAAGAACAGGGTCTTGGGGTTTTACACTATTGCATTTCAATAGGTTGTTGTTATAGTATCTGTTTATTGAACCAATTGTGCCAAACTCTATTGTAATATTTACAAAATTTGAATTAGATAATTTTGGGTTCTATATCCTATTTGAAGTCCATGTACTTGGAAATGACTTGAAACTACCAAGGAGTATCTTATGCCTTCAGAATTTTGCAGCAAAAATGGTAAAACACATTGCACCTTAGATTTAAAGTCGTGGGTTTGAGCTACCTCATGCCCTATATCCCAGTTTCACTCCTTTTTCATGCCCTCAAAATATTAATGGGTAAATTACACCCGAAACCACCGCTCTCTTTAAAGTTCATTTAGACTCCAAACTTTCCCCGCATTCAACTTAATCCTAATTTTCTACAGTTTTCTTTCAATTTAAATCTCACACTTTAATACTAATCAATTTAATCCTTTACAACTTTACTAATTTTATAAAATAATTTCTAAATTTTTTAAAGTTGCGATTTGACCCCAAATATACTGAATAAAAAATTTAGTCCTAAATTAGGGTGTAACACTAATTCTATGTCTACTTGGTTTCTGATTCAACAGATTATCTAATCGAGTTCGGTTTTGACAACACTGCTGAAAATCAACTTTGATGGCTCATTAATTGTAATGGGACAGATTGGTAGTGTAGGCAAGATTACAAGGAACCATGTAGGGTTCGCTATGGGCCAATGTAGCTTGCAAAATCAACAATGCCACAAATGCTTTCATGGTGGAAGTGCCAGTAGCCCTTGACATGGGACTCCAACATATTATAGCACGGAGGGTGATGCATTTCAAGTGAAGTGATAAGTACATAAACGGCACGAACGATGACATCTCCTCTAGTGGCCCCTTTCTTGGAATGTGAGAGCTAATGAGGAATTTTTCCTACTTGCCATGCTACACATTAATAAAGGATTTTGTTTTTGTTTTATCTGAACTTTAATTGAGAAGAAGATACAAAAAGGAGAATCTCACTAATGATTCTTATCTTTCTCATTTTCTACTAAACAATGACATTTCCTTGCTTTTCGATGGCTTTAAGAACAGCTTGAGTAATATCTTTGATTTCTGTAGTTTCTTGGTGTTGATCCACAACAATGGCTTCCATGGAAAAGAAATGATTGCAACAAACTCTTGCTTGAACAACATTAAGACCCAGTTCTTCAAACGCCTCCACAATTGACACTAACGTATCCCCTCCTTTGTTGCATCCCACTTTAACTACAAACTCTTTTCCATTCTTCTCCACCTTCACTTCCTGCTAAAACACTATGAAAACATAAATCCAAAAGGAAAAGATGAAGTGCTTATATATGGATTACATATAGAGGGAAACATGGTTCACCTTTGGGATTTGTAATTGGTTCAATAGAGTGAAGTATTCGTTCCTGATAGCTATAAGGTTTCGGTAATCTCTTTGTATTTCTTCCAACTTGACTCTAACCTTGTGAAAATGGAGAAGAACATTTAAGATGCTGGAGTTTCCTTTAACCTTCAAGAAAAGAGAAAAAAAAAACAGGTGGGGTTAACGTTTAGAACCAGAAAAGCTTTATGAATCCAAACCAAGAGTGAATTTTGTATTACGGATTTAGAGTTGGTGAGAGTTCGCATCAGTTGAAGCTTTCTATGAAATGCAGCTCTTCTTTGAAGCTTATTTGCCATCTCTGCTCTCTTTTCACTGTGTAATGATTTCTATGTGAACTTTGTAGTTGTAGTGGCCTAGCTTATATAGGATGGGAAAAGGGATTGAGTTTTTGAGATAAAGGTTTGTCATTGGGATCCATAAATAGCTTAGTCTAATCATGTGAACTCTTAAAATGAATAATTTAATCAACAATAATGCATGAACCAGCAAATACCAAGACAAGAAGCCTTGTGACAAAATGATAAGGCAAAATTTGAAATGACAGATAAAAATGGATTATTTGGTTGTCATATTGCATGGGAAGGGATGTGGGATTTGAGTCAGAATCAGGCCATTGGCATTGGGGACACAGTGTCAGTCAATGTTTGTATATATCTATGTCATTGCCATTCTGGTTGAAGCATATTTCAGTCATTCACGGGCCATTCCTTAATGGATTTTACTTTTGTTTGTCATCCAGCAAGCAAGACCCCTTGCCTGCTGCTAGTGGTAGCCATTGTAGGTCACATGCCTCTATCACTCTCACTTGTGTTCTATTCTTGACCGTTCTTTCTCCTCCTGAGGTTTCACAATGTCACATCTTTAAACCCAGCTGTCTACTTATACAGGGATGTATATAGGGGGATGGCCGGGGCGGGGCGGATGTCCCTGGCGCTATAAATGAGACTAAACAGATCGTGAGTTATTCGAGTTTAACTTGGTTAAACTCTAATTAAATGGATACGACTCGAGCTCGAACTTGACTCAAGTTCTTAACGAGTCGAAGCGAGTTGCTTGATACTCAACTCGAAAAGCTACGAGCAACTAAAAAAATATTATATTATATATTTTTTTAAAATTAAATTATTAATGATACTAATATTTATAGGTTGTTTTTTTAATAAATATTCAATATAAGGTTTTCATGTAATCAAGGTTCATATTCGAGCTTCAATCAAATTAAGTCTGAGAATCAAGTTTTTTCGAACTCGAGTCGAACTTCAATTCAAGTTAAGCACATGAACTTTCGAGTCGAATCTACCTCAGATTTAAACTTTTCGATTTGAGTCGAGCTCGTCAATACTCAACCTTGACTCGACTCATTTACCGCCCTAGTTGTCCCCTATTCTTATATATTTTATTTTTATTAATAATCGTTTTTGTCCTATTTAAAATTTTATAAATCTATCCTCTACAATATTATAAATTTACTTTTTCAGTATAAAATCACATGTAGTTCTACAGTATAACCAAATATTTAAGGCTAAAAAATCAGAAATTGTATGCAACCGAAAATGTTACCAAAAACACATAACATTTTAAGTTAAATGTAACTTAAAATATTACCTTCTTCATAAAATTTTCGGTTGACAACCGAAAATATTATTTTTTTCTTAACATTTTAATTTACAACCTAAAATATTATCCGAAAATATTATAAAAAAATAACATTTTAAGTTACTTCTAACCTAAAATATTATGGGTTTTTACAATATTTTCAGTCGTACTCAATTTCCCTTCTTTAAGCCTTAAATTAGACCCGCTTTTCTATACTTTCGCTAAAATCACATATCGTACTTGTACCTATACATGTTCAATTTTCACTATTAACCTAAACCCTAATCATGAGAATGCTAAAGATTATAAAGGCATATTAATGATAATCTAATCCGTTAGTAGGGTGGAGCTGATCAGCTCTGGAACCAAGAAAAGACCAAATATACTAATGACAGCATAGTTTGTCCATATATCATTCCTTCTCAAAAGCGTGCAGCTGCCATAAAGGCAAAAAGGGCATGCGCCATTGGTTTTTAGTGGAGCGGATAAGATTTTTTTTTTAATATCCAATTTCATATAACTTTTTAGAGAAATTGTTTAGTACTAAATTCATATAATTACTTCAATGAATAATATTATATTTGAAAGGTATATTTTTACAAAAATATTTAACATGGTAGTTATATTTTAAAAAATATCTAATATTTTATATGTATTTTGATAAAGTGTTTAGTTTAAAGAAAAATCTATTTTATTTTTGTTATATTCATATTTTCACATAGTATTAGCATTTTCATGTGGATTCAGGGAAAAATATTCATGTGTTCAGTAGCTTTTTTTATATAAACAATATTAATTTTAGGTGTCATAATAATACATAAAATGATAGTTCAAATATATTATTATTTTTTTTTCAAAATATGTGTATCACATTAAACATTTTTGAAGTGTAGATATCACATTAAACATTCTATCAAAGAATTGATATCACAAAAGATATTTGAGTAGCTCCAGTGCTGGAAATTTCAATATTTTTTCATCTGTTTCCTTTGTCCAGTTGTGCTTGACATGTCTCCCCCTCAGTATGTGAAAGGAGGCTCTACTTTCTACCCAGTTTTCTTTTGCTTTTTGTCTAGAAATTGAGGCTGTTTTCCCTTTTATCCTCTCGTCCAGGGAATCCGGACTCACATGACCAAACTATGGTGCTTGCAACTTGACAAACACTATAAGTTGTACTTTGGAAAATAAAACAATTCTTTACCCAAAACTCTAACTCAGTCACATAAGAGAAGTTTTATAGGTATGTACTAATGTTTTGTGATTAACTCCATAAAGCTCTAAACTCTAATTCATTAAGTATAAGAAATCATCAAACGAAATAAATTTCAAACACCGCTCAGTTAATTCATATAATATTAGTATAATATTGCTGTAACAATATAACACACAAACCATGATAATCCTAACCTTTCAAACCATAACACTATAAAAACCATTTAATAACTCCATAACTAAATTGAACTAAATTACATTCTATTTTTACTCTTCAATTTGGAACATTTTATTGTATAAGTCTGACGATCATCATTCTGTCTACACAAGATTACAAGAGAGGAAAACCAATACAAAAGAATTCAACAATATTATCATGGTGCTTTACATCAGCCATTTTTGCTGTCATTTTAATTGCACGTTATAATGCAACTAAGATGAATGTGATCGATAAATGTTGGAGAGGGAATCCTTTTTGAAGTGTTGAGCTTCTTGAAGTGCATAGAACTTAATGTTCATATACTTTGTTTTGCTGAAACAAACTGGATTCTCTTAAATGTCTATTGCTGATTTGTTGTCAACTAGAACTTCAGTAGCTTCCTCTTGCTTATGTCTTAAGTCTGTTAATATTTTCCTGAGCCACACAGCTTGATTCACTACTGCAAATGTTGCAATGTACTCAGCTTTAGCCATGGATTGAGCCACAATTTCTTGCTTTTTTAAAATCTATGAAAACACTCCAGACCCAGGTGAAAAAACATAGCTAAGAGTACTTTTCATGTCATCCATTGATCCAACCCAGTCACTATCTGAATATGCAAACAATTTTAAGTCTGCGCATTGATTAAACATAACTCCAAAATCTGCACTCTTCTTGCAGCACTCATATGAACATTACTTGGTTCAGTCATGAATTTTGAAAACAAACTTGCTGCAAACACCAAATTTGGTCTAATTGTTGCGAGGTAAAGTAGACTTCCAACTAAGCTTTTGTACTCATTAGCGTCAACTTTCCTCTGACAATCAAACTTGGACAATTTCTCATCACCACAAGAGGTGTACTAACCGGTTTGCAATTTTGCATCTTGAACTTCTTAAGAACATCATTGGCATACTTCCTTTGAGAAATAAAAATTTCATCTTCTCCTTGATGAACTTCCATCCCAAAAAGTAATTCATTAAGCCCAAGTCTATCATTTAGAACTTTTTCTTTATCTCCTTCTTGAATGAGAGGATCATTTTTGAATTGTTTCTTGTGACAAGAATATCGTTAACCTAAAGTGAAATGATGAGAAAATCATTCTTGCCTTGATTTTTCACATAAAGAGTGTGCTTATTTTTGCTTCTCTCAAACCCCTTTTCAATGAGATAAGTCAATTTTCCTATACCACGCTCGTGGTGCTTGTTTTAGGCCGTAAATAGCTTTTCTCAGCTGGCACACTTTTTCTTCTTTTCATTCGACAATAAATTCAAGAGGTTGCTCGTTGAAAATTTACTCGTCGAGTTCATCATTGAGGAAGACAGACTTAACATCAAGTTGATAAATCTTCCATTGCTCTTGTGCTACTAAAGCAATCAAAGTTTTCACTGTGTCAAGTCTTGCAACAGGAGCAAATGTATATCTATAATCAATTCCTGCCTACTGGGAGTATCCTTTGACGACTAGTCTAGCCTTGTACTTGCTTATAGAGCCACCGGGATTTAATTTGATCTTGTAGACCCATTTCACTCCTATCACTTTGCGATCGTTTGGTCTATCAACCAACTCCCAAGTTTGATTTTTCTTGATCATGTTCATTTCATTTTTCATCGCTTACTGCCACCTTTTGTCTTCATAAGCCTGCTCATATGTTTGGGACTCTTCAACTCCAAGGTAGCATTTTTCACATTCATTCGGATCTAAGTGAAAGATAGGGCATTCTTTATACAAGCCCGAGAGTGATTTTTTTACCTCGAGGACTTATAACATTCTTACTATCACTTGACTCACCACTATCATCGTTAAGTTGTATAGGAGAAGAAGGTGGCATGTGATTGTCATTGTTAGCTTCTTCATCATTCTCATTGCTATGTTCATCACTCACTACATCGTTGGGATTAAAAACCAGCACATAGTTCCTTTTTTAACCTTCTCTTCATCCATTAGAGCTTGCATCTTTATTAAACTCCACATCTCTACTGATCATGATCTTCTCAGTGTCAAGTTTGAAATTCGATAGCCTTTGGCTTGAGAATCATAGCCAAGGAAGATTACTCTTTCAGCCTTTGCGTCTAGTTTGCTTTCTTTGAGTTGGAATATGAGCATAACAAATTGATCCAAATACTCTCAAGTGTTTCAGTGATGGCTTTTTTCTAAACCATGCTTCAATCGGAGTTTTATCTTGAACCACCTTGGTGAGCAATCTATTAATCATATAATGTTGTTCTCACAGCTTCCACCCAAAATTTATTTGGTAAATTATTCTCCATTAGAATGCATCGAACCATTTGTAACATCATACTCAATTCCTTCATCGTTATAGAAAACATCAAATTCTGTAGAAGTATATCTTTACCTCGATCTAATCTGAGTTTCTGCAGTTTACACCCACTTTGGGCTTCTGTGAGTGCTTGAAAGTTTTTGAAGAAATTGAAAACTTCTGACTTTTCTTTTATAAAATACTCATGTCATACAAGTGAAATCATCCATGAAGAGGATGAAATACTTGTTTCCACCAAGAGACAAAGTTCTGTGAGGTCCACAAATATCTGTATAAACTAGTTGCAATTTTTCTGACGTTCCCAAACTTTCTCCTTCGGGAAATGTAACCTATGTCGCTTGCCAAGTTTACAAGGCTCACATAGATCATTGCTTAAGGAAATTGAAGGAAATTCTCTCACCATATTTTTCTTCTGAAGTTCACAAAGAGTACGTATATTGAAATATCCATACTTCTTGTGTCGTAGCCATGTATCGTTCGAGTGAGTTGCATGTGTTCCTTCTACTGCAAAATCCTATTTCAAAGCAAAGATTTTGTTTTCCATAGGGACATTTGCAATCTCCTTTTTCTCCAGGTCCATGATAGTAAAATGGTTATTTTCAAAGACAGGTGAATAATCATTTATGACCATTTGAGCAACACTAAGTAACTCTCATTCAAATCTGGAACAAGGAGAACATCGTTAATGTATTTTGTAGATTTATTTGTTTGTACAACAATCGTGCCTTTTCCAGTGGACTTTACCACAACTCCATTCCCCATGCGAACTGGAACTTTGATTGAAGAGTTAAGCTTGCAGAATATGCTTGAATCATTTGTCATGTGAGAAGTGCACCCACTGTCAATCAACCACTTATCTTTGCTTCCACTACAGGTGAAAGCTTGTCGTGCATAAAACAAGGAGTCTTTTACTTTATTGGAAATACGAGCCTGTGATTATTGTGTCTTTTGTTTGTGCCAGGAATCTTTCTCCAAATGGCCAAATTTATTACAGTAATTGCATTTTAACTTCCCCTAGTGATTCAACGATGATGGTGGACATCGTGTTGAACTTTCTATTCAAAGATCCTAAGATATTTTGCACTATTTTTGTATTTGAGATATCCTCCCCATATATCTTATTGGTTTACAACTTCTATGAATCTAGAAGTGTAACTTTTGATATCCTCACTTTCCTTATCTTCATGTTATCATATTACCTCCTTAAAATGTTCAGTCGAATATTTCTGATTTTTTCATCACCATGGAACTCCTCCTGGAGAAGTCTCCATGCTTCTTTTGCGGAAGAGGCTCTCATGATTTTGGGAAAAATTGTATATGAGACACAATTGATGATATGAGATAAGGCTCTTGCGTCCTTCATCTCATCATCACTTAATTTTTTAATTTTGAATTAGTGTACTGTACATCTTTCTTTTTCTCTTCGTAACAAGTCTCTATGATCTCCCATAATGCACTTGCTTTAAGAAAAAGCTTCATTTTAATGCATCAATAATCATAGTTATCCCCCATGAAAATAGGAGGTGATGGCATAGAAGCTGATACATAAGAGGTTGACGTCGAAGCTATATTTCAACTGTTCAAATTCTTCTTTTTCCTTACTTCTATTCCTTTTGAGTTTGTTTGTGATTTGCTCTTAAGACCATATGGCTCTTAATACCAATTGTTGGAGAAAAGTAAAGAAAATATAGAGAAAAGTAGAGGAAAAGAAGTAGAAGTAGAGAGAATTCTGACTTTGATTGATGTGTTTGTATATCTATTTAATGAGTACAAGAGTTCTTTATATAGAGGGGAGGGATGCATTATAATAATTATGATACAATAAATTGTCACAACATTTTGGCATTTCAATTACTCTATCAACTCTAGACACTTTTCTCTTAATTAAACTTGACATATTCATGAACATAATTTATTGAGTAGCTAAAAGGTCTCATTTACTAACACGAATCATGATGCAAAGGCCACTTCTCTTGAGCAGTTTCACTACCATCGATGGTGTGGTGTCGAAGTCCACATAACGGGAGCAGTTGCCTCGTGGTGCGCAAGGCTACCAATATTATCATCCATGGCTTACACATCCACCATTGCAAGTCCCAACCACCAAGCACCGTGATGGGGCCTGATTCAAAGTTGATACCCCTCGGTCAAATGGATGGCGATGCTATAAGATTGGTTATGGCAAGGAAAGTTTGGATCGATCATAAACATTGTTTGAGTGCCAAGATGGTCTCCTTGATGTTACTCGTGGTTCAACCGATGTTACTATATCTAACAATTGGTTTAGGAACCAAGATAAAGTCATGCTTCTTGGGCATGATGATGGCCATTTAAGAGAAAGAAACAGGAAGGTCACCGTCATTTTTAACTATTTTGGATCTAACTGCAACCAAATCCATGTTTGAATAGTTTGCAAGTAATAAACTGCATATTACGCCATTTATTCGACCGTTGTTATTAATTATATTGCAGAGTCCGTCATGGATACGCACACGTAGCCAACAATTTCTACCAAGGATGGGAACAATATGCCATTGGTGGAAGAAAGAGGCCAAGCATCAAGAGTGAAGCCAACCTTTTGTTGCTCCAAATGTTGGCGACAAGGAGGTTACATGGAGAAAAGGCGAAAGGCGGATAAAGCTTTATGGAAATTCTATTCTGAAGGAGATCTTTTAAAAATGGAGCCTCTTTCAATAAGCAAACAGGTATAGGTGGAGCAAAGCCTAATTATAACAAGGAACAACATTTTAAGGTTGCCAATTCTGGGTCAGTTAAAGAATTGACAAGCGCATCGGGTGTTCTAAAATGCTCTAGGAGTCTGACATGCTAGGTTCATGTATAGTTTAAGCACCATCAGTTAATCATAATATCAATACGTGTATAATTGATAAGCTATAAAAGCCTAATGTTAAATCTTTTGTCAGGTTTATATTCTGCATGCGTGTGTGTAGATTTATAGTTTAAGTTCTAATGAATGGCGTAAGAAAATAAGATAAATGTGGCACTCAGATTTAGCTATTGAGAATTTTAACAAGTTTCAAACTGTTGAAAACCATTAAAAGATATATACATGTTTTACTTATTTTTTTTCTTAACTGATGTTTTGTCTCACTGAAAGATTTTTAATTAGGCAGCATGTTATGCATATTAAAAAATATGCACTCGTTTTATATTTTTCTCACATGTGTTTTATCTTAGTAAAATTTTAACGAGGTACATTATCTTCATAAACATTTAAGAAAGAGTGTTATGAATATTTATTTATGTGAATTTATTATGATTAAAACATTGTGTATTAAATATGAATTAGATGTACTTTATTATTAGGAGTTTTTTTATAAATATTATTAAAAGTTTAATATCCATTAATATTAAATTTTATATATTATCTACTTCTTATATATAAATATAAAATTTATAGAAAACATTATACACCGTTCATATTACATAAATATATAAAGGTTTCCATAAAAAAATGTACGATAATATGTTTCACCACAAACAATGATTCAACGTTGATTGACTTGCTTCTTCTTAAAGCCACGTCATGTCCGCAGGTTACAAATCACTTTGCCTTCCACGAAAAAGCAACTCACTTCGGGTCCGACAATTTAATAGTTTATACCAAACATTTACTAATTCAACGTTAAATAATTTTTTTTATTACCATATTACCCATCTCTTTGATTGATTTGTTCTTATTTATATACGTGTTGAAGGGTATTATGGTCATATTTTTGGTCTATATTAGGGTTAAGGTCTGCAATTAAACCATAACCCCTCGGTTTAAGGAAGACTATCTTGTTTTCTGTTTCTTCAGCTGACTTTAATGGAGGTAGAAGAGATTATGAAACTCTTCGATTCGTGCTGGTTCGAGATGGAAATCTTTAAGAACGATCATCTCAGTCGACATTCACGAGCTTCAAACCGAACCCAGATCTCCAAACTGAAGAAAACTCGACGAGACCCTGTTTTCTCACCATTCAAGATCCATGAGTGATCAGCTGAGCTTAATCAGAACGAGCTTCATATAGGTTCCTGCGATTCTTTCTCACCTGACTCAGTTCTCCACTCACCGAATCTCCATAAAACCATGTCGGGCAAAGACATTGCAGAAGAAGATACACGAGAAAGTTACAGTGATATGAAGATTACGAGAAGAAAGAGAGGGAAAAGTAAGAGCTTGTCGGACTTGGAATTTGAAGAGCTAAAAGGGTTTATGGATCTTGGCTTCGTTTTCTCAGCGGAAGATAATAAGGATTCAAGGTTGGTAAAGATAATCCCAGGGTTACAAAGATTAAAAAAGAAAGAGCCCGAAGAAGACGACGACGAAGAAGGAGAAAAAAAAGAAGCTGATGAAGATGATGATGACGAGGCTCCTGAAGTTGCTAGACCTTATCTTTCAGAAGCGTGGAAAGTTTCAGAAAGGAGAAAAGAAAATAACCCTTTGATGAAATGGAGAGTCCCTGATTTAGGTAACGAGATTGACATGAAAGACAGCCTTAGATTGTGGGCTCACACTGTTGCCTCTACAGTCAGATGATAACAAAAAGATCATTGATTTCATTGTTCCAAGTTTTGGTTATTTTTCGTTGGAATTTTACATGATTTTCCTCCTCTATCTGTTTCCTTTATTTTACCAATGATTTACCGAGTCTTTATTTTTTATGTGCATGGTAACTTTGATTTTGAATACTCTGAAGAAAGAAATTAGGGGTTTGAAATTAGAATCAATTTATCCTGTGGTGGTAAGGTATATAAGGGGAGTACGTATGATTTAATGTTAGAGATGTGAATTTAAGAAGTTACATTAGAAATTTAAAAATGTAAAATTAAATCATTAATAGAAAATATAAATAAAAACTTAAATTATATCGAAATTTAAAAATTATACGATCGTACCCCAACATTCCTTAATCCATACCAGGTACACTGTTTATTAAATAACAAAATCTTATATGCAATTGCATTATTGTTGAACAAGTTGAATTATTTTGTCATCCTAAAGAGTAACTTGATTGTATTAGTCAACCATCTATAGAATAATTGATTAAAAACTCTCAACGCTTCCTTTCTTATGTAGGTTGTAGATTCAATAATATCTATTAGGAGTAAAATTTTTATTTCATCTCCTCTATATAGAAATTGTTAAAAAAAACTTGATTCGATTAAAATATGAAAATAGATTCAGTTTTGAAATAGTTAATTTGAGCGAATCTAGGTTGATGTTATCGCCCATCAAAGTGGAAAGTTGACTTGTATCTTATTCTTTTGTACATGACAGGAACTTTCCACTAAAAAATATCAATTTGTTGTTTCACATCTTTGTCTGAAAATGAAGGTATGCTGTAAATAGCAATTGGTTTTTGTCATGGTGTCCATAAATAATTAAATGTTGACGTAAGTTTTCGAACCAATAAATGTCTAATTAATATTGTACTACATGTGACGTTTACTCCTCAACCAACAGAAACAACCGTTGCTTTACTTGGAAGTTGTATTTAATTGTATATTATTTTATTTTTGATTTAGTCGGTTCATTTTTAGGTTATAAATTAATTGAGCTTGAATAATATGAACCGACTAAATAAATTAATTACACAAATATAATATGGTCAACTTATATGAACACCGACATAATTTTCTTACAGAATATAGTGTAAGTAAATTAAATTAGAGGATAAAAATTATATGAATCCCTCAAATGGTTTCAATAGTAAGAGACGTTGTCCTCCTAGAGGCCCTGGATTAGAGCATATGCGTTTGCAAAGTATGTGTGCACTGTCAATTATTTAAGAAATTTTTTAACATATACTACTTTATTATCATCACATAATAATAAAAAAATAAATTATACAAATACAATTGGTTTACTTATTAAAAGTTGTTAAAATTTATCTTTGGAAGATGTTAAAATTTAATTATATAGTGTTACAAACTATTAATTAATTGAATAGTTTATAGGATAGTATTATCTTTTAAGTAAGAATATATGCTTGAATTTTGAGGTTGCGAATGGAGTAAATAAATTGAAAAGCCACTCAAATATAAATTTTTGTAATATTAATTTCAGATTAATAAGTCAATGAATCGATTATCAATGTTATTACAAAGATATTAATTATATCTATTCGAAATTTATATAGGTATTTCGAGATAGAAATATTTTAATTTGAATCTAAACAAGAACTATTTACTTTAAAATTTTGGCAAGCAGTTAAAATCCATATTGCACGAACTTCAATGATTATCATGCAGGCGCTCTAACAAATGATTCACAAGAGAAGATTCACCCAAAAAAACCAGAGAAAAAAGTCTCTAGGGTTTAATAAAATATTATAAAATCAAAATCTCCAAAATCAGTCCACAAGCCGGACTGTTATAGCCAAAAATCGTCTTTATTATTGAATTTTGCCAAAAATAGAAAAATCCCGAAAATCACTCTAAATTGAAATTCGAATAAAATAAGCAATCTCCAAAAAATTCGGCCTAAATCGGATTTAAATTGACTTACTAATTGACAATCGAAATATTACCATAAATAGTAAAAAAAAATATCTAAATCTAGTGATTCGGAGGGGAAAACGACAGAATTTGAGGTCTTATGCGCGATTCTGACACCTGTAGCTAAAGTTATGGCCAAAAGACTGAAACATACTCAAACGACCCAAATGAGGAACATGTCACAATCAATTCTCGTCTTTGTGTTGATCTGCCAATTCATGGTATCTCAGCGCCATCAAGGTGCAATCTGACAGCTCAACATCATCTGTCTCGGATCTCCCTGCATCAAAATGCCTCAATAGATGGATGTTCCAGTTGCCATCGTTCGTGATATAATCTCGGACAACAACATCATGGTCTAGAATCTGATTGGAATATTTTTAACCAATTAATAACGCACACACACCCTATAGATGTAGTTGCTCGAAGTTAGGACATCTAAGGATAACAATAAGTAAACTTTTTCCTTCCTACAAGATCTCATTAATGGAGCTAACTCTGTACCAAAACTGACATCAGTATGATCATCGTATCAATTATCACCTTCTTTCATTTTTTTTCCGGTTGCATGGAGCTCTTTAGCTACTTTGATCTTACATGATTCATACCTGTTTCATTTCGTTGTAATATTATTCTACCAGAAATTGTCTTGTTTGATAATAGAGCCATGCATTTAAACTTGAGGATATGGTAGCTAACATGACCTCCTGCCCTAAATTTTAACATGTTGTTTCGACCACAATTTCCTTGGGGAGAAGAGGGTGAACTGTTTCATGATCAATCGATCACCAGATCATGAATAATACTTTGTATGAGTTGCAATCGTCCAATATGAAAGGATTCTAAAAGACCAGTTACTTACTCGAGTAGCAACCTTGTCCAATAGAGGAGCACAATCCTTCTATGTAAGTCTTCAAGTGATAAGGGAGACTCTAAGATAACGCATTGGCAGCTTCCCAATCTTAAACCTTGTAATGTCCTTAGTATCATGCAACTCATCACAGTTTATGCCAGAATAATAAACTTCAGGTTTAAAAGGATTCAAATGGAGACGAGAGAACTTGTAGAACTCTTGTAACACACATTATTCCCACTACAGAATCCACATTTCCTTTCGAAAATATTAGTAAATCGTATGCAAAGCTTAGGTGAGTAAGATAGATTCTGTTGTATGTTGGGCGAAATTGAAAATTGCCTTGGGCTGCCGCTACATCCAACATTTTAGAAAGTATATTCACGACTAATACAAAGAGGTAAGGGGATAATGAAGATAGAGTCTTCATAACCCTCCACTAACTCTTGAGCTAGAAGAATATTACTCATGTCTTTCACAAATGTTAACCATCTAGTCTTATGAGAAACCATGACTTTAGTAATGCATTTATAAAATACTTGACATCATGAGATAGACATGAGTTTGAGTTTAACTTGTTTAGAACAAGAGTAATAATAGTTGCATTGAAACCCTTAAAAGGCTCTAGATAATGGAAATCATAAAGAACAATATTAGTTACCTCTTGATGCAGGGGGATCTGAGACAGATGATTGCTGAGCTGTCAGATTGCACGTTGATGGCGCTGAGATACCATGAGTTGGCAGATCAGCGCAAAGGCGGGAATTGATTGTGACATGTTCCTTATTGGGGTCGTTTTGAGTATGTTTCAGTCTTTTGGCCATAACTTTGGCTACAGGTGTCAGAATCGCGCATAAGACCCCAATCCGGAAAGCTCTTTTCGACGCGCACGCTCTCCACATTGAGCTACGCTCCATGTGGCCTTTTTTTCAACCTCAAATTCTGCCGTTTTCCCCTCCGAATCACTAGATTTAGTTATTTTTTACTATTTATGGTAATATTTCGATTGTTAATTAGGAAGTCAATTTAAATCCGATTTAGACCGGATTTTTGGGAGATTGCTTATTTTATTTCGAATTTCAATTTAGAGTGATTTTCGGGATTTTGCTATTTTTGGCAAAATTCGAATAAATACGATTTTTGCTATTTTTGGCAAAATTCGAATAAAGACGATTTTTTTTAGCTATAACAGTCCGGCTTGTGGACTGCTTTTGACAGTTATTGATTTTATAATATTTTATTAAACCCTAGAGACTTTTTTTCTCTGGTTTTTGGGCGAATTTTCTCTTTGTGAATCGTCTGTCGGAGCTAGCCTACAGGATAATCACTATTCTGTCTGGCGTCACCTCTTCACCCACAATGTAACAAGTCTTTTGGGAAGAATAAGATGTAAAACCATCTGGGGCCCTTGAGCATTTTCTCCATTTAAAGCAAACAATACATCTTTGACCTTCTCCTTAACAACTTCTTTGTTCAAATATGTCTTACCTTTCACTGTAATTCCATCCCAACTCCTTCAAGAAACTAACAGATGGGACAATAACATATTTATTCTCATTTCTCAAAAAAAATTTTAAAAAAAATGAATAATCGGATTAGATACGGATCACCTAAATTTTAATTCCAGATTATCTAAAAATCCAAAAAAAAAAAAAGAAGTTAGATTTAAAAATTTTAAATAGATTCCAGCCCAATAAATAACCCGTTAAAACACTAACCCTCAACTCTTGTAAAATGCCTTCGTCGGCCACTATAGACATTTTCCCTGCGAGGACCTACGGATTTGAATTCAAATGTCTGCTAAAAAAAATTAAAGTAATACACAGCCCTTGTAAATAACTCAATTTTAATTTCCAAAACTAATGCATTAATCCAATAAGGCACAAACATATTTTAATTTATATACAATCTTTATGATCTCAATTTCAAGTGTATAAAGTTGGTATGTTGAGGACTTGATTCTCTTATGTAATCAATTTATTTTCAACTTTTTAAGTGTTGAATTTAAAAATTAAAAATTTAGCTATTTATTAGGAATGAATAATTATATGTATAACTTCTTGAATGTTAAATTTAAGACTTAAAATAAATGGATATTGAATATATGTTATATAGAGGTTAGGTTGTATAAAGTTGCAAATATATACATATTAAGTATGAATTTTCTATTGAATTAAGTTTTATTTTCAGATTTGGATATATGAATATCTATTTTTTTTCAAATTAGATTTAAATCGTAATAT